TACAGCTTTAGCTATTTTCATGCTCATCATCATATTTTCATGTGAAAACATGCTCTCATTGAGCTGGGTGATGGAAACTTCAGAATATCTTGTACTATTTCTAGATGCATCTATGGTTATGGCCTGGCAGACAATTATAATTCATTCTCAAAATGACTTATAAAAACCTTAAAGGGGGGGCAATGAATTTAGAGGCATTCAGTCCTAATCCCACAGATAGCAACTTCGCACCATTTACTCCTCAACCAAATGTTTGAACGTTTGGTTTGTACTGAGCAGAATAACTATAGCAACAACACATCATCAGTGTTGTTTTAAGACATTAAAATGGATTAGATTCTGCACCTTGAAATGTTACAAAAACCTTGGAATAAATTCTTAGGTTGGTGACACTAACAACACAATGCACTTCTGTAGTATAAACGTAAGGCTTTGTGAATTTACAAAAATATTTATTAGATTCTATATTCCTTGGTTAATCTTGTCATGAGATTGAGATTATCATGGATTCTGTGGTATTATGTTGACAAGACGATAGCTAAAAGGAATCCAGAAAGTTGTTTCTGCAAGATCAACCGTCATCCTACTAAAGCTTTTTACTGAAAATAAACAAAGCAGTTTTACGCTTTAAAAAAAAATGATATTGCTAACACATACTGTAACTAGGCTACATGATCAGTTTACATTAAGAGCTGCTACAGATTGTAATTCCTTGCCTTTATATAGTATCTTCATCCCAAGGGATCCTAAAGTTCTTCACATATAAAGGTTTATAGGTTTATAGGTTTATAGGTTTATTCCAGAGTCAAAAGAAAAGGTATTAAGTTTCAGGCTAAATCCTTTAGGGATGATATTATGTCTACGACATCTGTAAAGGAATAGAAGGTGGTTAGAAAGCCTGGTCCTGGAACAGATAGCTGTGAATAGACGGAATGCTGGTTTAGTGAGAGAACCTCACACCTGAAGAACGCTCCACGCCCGAAACGTTGTGTTTTCTTTCTTCTTTTTTTCAGAATGGAATAAACATATTACTCGTTCCTTTGCAGCCTACGCATGCTGACGCAGCTACCCACCTGAACCTTTTCACATATAGTCAGGAACCCACTACATCCAACACTAAAGGGCAGTGACACATGGCAGCGGCTCCACTACATTACAGGTTGTCGCGCCCTGTACAGCTAGAGGGCACTCTACTTCTGCCCTGTTCCTAGTTCCCTGTGATTATTCATGTCTTTCCAGTGTGTCGTGCTGTGTTGCCTATTTACTTCCTGTGTCTGCTCTCCTGGCTCAGCATTGAGGGTACAGATGTCTTGAGACCTACCTATTACCAGGTCGCCTCATGTCCGTGGCCCAGGGCATAGGTTTCTCTACCGACATCGTCTGATCCCCTAAGCCTTGGTCAACCCCCGTGTTGCCCCTTAAGCTGCTATGCATAGGGTCTCTACTGCTCTCCTTGTCATTCCACGGCATGCTCTTTCCGACATTCGTGACACAGGTTCTCAGTTTAACATCTCAGCTGAAGGGTGGCACCTCCTATAGCTGTGGTTCTCAACTCTGGTCCTTAGGGTCCTCTGTGTCTGTTTCAAGTTCAACAGGGCCCTTAATCATCAATGGTCATTGATGCATCTAACTGATCTGCTTGCTTGTTTAGACCCTTTTTTAACTCTAACGGACATACATTTTTTTAGCCATTCCTCAACTTCCTAAATAAAAATTTGCTGTTTTATTTCTGTCTGTAAGGCTCTTGATATGCAGTCAATTTTATGAGAGACAGGTAGAGATGACGATCTATTAAGCTGTCCAGCAAGGAGTGTTTTTTTCCCTTCTATTGAAGCCAACTTCAAGAGTTTTTAAGAGTTGAAAGAAAAATTTAAAAACACACCTAAAAGGGTAACCACTTGGCAACCACTAACCTACAGCACTGCAAAACTAATCACCATACATGGGATAGTGGGCTGGACAATCCGGTCAAAAAGGAAGAGTAAAACCTACTTATTCACCAATACCAAGAACTGTTTTTTCTGTACGGACGTCTCCCATCCCAGCGCTGACATTTGCTTAGCTTCTGAGATCTAACTAGATTGGGCCACAGAATGTTAATTTTGTGCCAGGGCTGCTGCCAGTGATGGAGGTATTGTACAGCGAATGTCTCTGAAGAAAACAGCACTGGGGAACTGATATACTAAATCATTTTTACCTTAGATTTGACAAACATGACTTTAGGGGCATAATCATGGACCATAAAGAGAAGTTCACTGCTACCACCTTGACCTCTTTAGCTATGAAATAATTTGAGAAATGTGTTAAAAGACGTTATCTATTAAGTAGAGCACCTATTGGATGCCATGCATTTTGCCTACAGGGCCAAAAAAGGAGTTGGATATGCTTGCTTCACATTACTGAATTTGTTATATTCACATCTAGAATGTCCGAAGACACATGCCTGGCTTTGATTTACAGATTACTCATCAGCCATTTAACACCATTCAACCACACTTATAAATGGAGAGATAACGCCCTCATTTTAATCTTGATTATTGTAGGCTATATCCTAGTCTTTTTGACCAGCAGATCACAAAGAGTGAGGGTGAATGGTCTTATGTCAGAGAAGCTTTGTTTTTCCACTGGGTCTCCTCAGGGCTGTGTACTGTCCCCCATCCTATACAGTACATTCTATATATAGACAGCAGTAGAAGCCCTGTTGAGGACAAGGATCGGTAAGGACTAGTGATAAAGGTGATTGGAACCTATGCAGTGCTGAGAGAGAACGTGTCAGAAATCCTGGGAGCGAAAGGCAGTGTTCAAGGTCGGGGTAGGCAGGCTAGGTCGGGTATCCAGAGGTCGAGGCAGCGAGGTATCTAAATCCGAAAGACGCGAGGCAGAGACGGAGTCGGGGTCAGAGGCAGAGCAGGGTCGGGTATCCAGACGTCGAGGCAGCGAGGTATCCAAATCCGAAAGACGCGAGGCAGAGACGGAGTCGAGGTCAGAGGCAGAGCAGGGTCGGGTATCCAGATGTCGAGGCAGCGAGGTATCCAAATCTGAAAGACGCGAGGCAGAGAGTGAGTCGAGGTCGGAGGCAGGGCAGGATCGGGTTATCCAGAAATCAGTTAAGAAAGAATCCGCACAAGAAAAGGGCTAGGACAATCTCAACAGTGAGTGGAGTGAATGGGTTTAAATGAGGAAACAGGGTGAGCGCAGTGCTAATTGCTAACAACAGCGCAGGTGTGTTCGCCGAGAGGTGCACGCTGGAGTGTGGTTTGTGACAGGACAGACACATCATCAAGTTTGCTGATGACTCTGTCATAGTTAGTGTCCTCCAAGGCACAGACACAGGTCATGGGCCTGTAGTGTATTATTTTGTTGAATGTTGTCACATCTCCTTCCTTCAGCTTGATATGTCAAAAAATATTATGATCATATGATTAATTGTATGATCATTGATTATAGAAAGCAACCACCCAACAGTCATTGAGGAGCAAGAAATTGTCAAGTTAAAAAATCTCGGCCTGTTGTTGATGCCAAACTTACCTTTGAGGAAAACACAGACACCAAATAAGATCACTTTATTGGCCATATACAATTTCTTGTATTAGGAATTTGTCTTTTCGCATACCCCAACTTGCTCTCCATAAGACCCACAGAGAGAAGAGAGAAGCTTGGGGTCAGAGCACCAGGTCAGCCATTTATATGGCACCCCTGGAGCAGCTGCTCCAGCTTGCTCAGGGACACAACAGAGTAGGATTCCTCTGCCAGCCACGGGATACGAAAAGAAACCTTCCAGCTATAGGCACAGAGCCCTAGCCATAGAGCTACTGCATCACCTCAAGAAGCAAGATATGAGAAGGCCCAACAGCAATTGCTCTTCCAAAGAAAACTCCATTCTTTTAATGTGTGTACTTGAACAATGACTTTATTCTACAGAACTTTCATTGAATCTGTCCTAACATTCACTGTGATAGCCTGGTTTGGTAATCTTAATATATGTAATGAAAACAGACTGGACTGAGTAGGATTGTTAAAGTAGCCAGCAAAATCATTGTTGCAAAATAACTAAAGCTTTCAGACATCTAAATCAAACAGTGCAGAATAGTGCAGAAGGCCAATATAATCACTGACTGTCATGACCACATCTTGCAAAGTGAATTTCATCCTCTTCCATCTTGACTTTGATTTAGACTGCCCAGGCTCAAGGGCAATAGAACTAAGTTGTCTTTATTTCCCACAGCTATCAACCTGCTCAGTTTGGACATCTGACTGTACATTTACTTTATTTATTTTTTCTTTCTCACCATAGATGTGTGTGTTAAATGTCTTACATAATGTTTTGTCCTTACCTGCCTGCAAAGCACATTTCCCATCTGGGATGATAAAGTAACAAGGACACTGCACTGAATTCTGCATAACATTGTCCTGTACACTGCACTAGTTCTATACGAAAACGCATAAAGTAGCATTTTCATTCCAATTTTCAAATACATAAGAAATACTATTTTCTGCAATTTGTATTAGATAACTTCATCCAAGGCGATTTACACTTTAGAAACATTCTTAGAAAGCTATAAAAAGATAATATAGGCATAGTTATACGTACAACATTAATCTTGATAGTATACTTTTTTTTAAAAAATCCCATATTAGATCAGTAAAAGCAAATAAGTGTTTTGTGCATTTTCATTAATTCAGCCATTTCCGCACCACACTAATATTCCCACCATAAGGCGCTGCCGAACACTCACTGTTCCTCAATGGTGGAAATACATGTACATGCATTGTGGGAAACGTAGTACGTTAGTGAAAAGGAAGGCAATACCGTTTGACTTCATTTCCTATAATTGTAATATTTAATTGAAAAATCAGATGTATGCTTATATATTTTTCTACATAAAGTATAAATATTTCCATGTATTTCTAAATTGAACAGAATATTTATATTTGGGTTTTGTACGGATGCATCTCGAAACTTCCACCCCGTTCCTGATCTTCCCATAGTGCTGTGCGCTGCGGCTGTTACCCGGCATGCTGGTTGACTCCCTTCGGTGTGTGGCTGCGGCGCGTGAAGATGTCGGTTTTAGAGGGGCCTCTCAATGTGCTCGGCCAGAGAACAACTGGCGAGTCAGTCCGCACTCAAAATGGTGAGATGCGTTGTTTCTTACCGATAATCTATTATAGCATACTGTTTCACACGGCATGAAGGGACATCTAATCTAAAATAAATTAAACGTGGTGAGCAGCTAAGCTGGTCTGCTTGCAGTTACCGGTCTGACGCACGTGTGTCATATCTTCCCCGTTCTTCGCTTAACTTTTAACGGTATAAATAAAGTTTACTTGTCCAGCTACAGAATGTGCCGATTGATAACGACATTTTAGCAGTACGGTGATGCTTTGTTAATGAAGATCGCTTTTAGATGATCAGCTTCAGAATTTGCTGGTCACTGACCCAACCCAGCCTGCTGCAGTTCTCCTTTGTTACTAAGCTAGCCATCTTAACAGTCGGTCTTGTCATTGTATTTTGCAATTCAAGTTTTTAAAGATAGGTTTGTATCTCGCCGACATATGTAGGGAAGCCGTTGAAGCATTCTGATGCAGTTATTTTAGTAGCTAGTTTTTTTTTCCTGGATTATGTCTGTTCATGTACTTGTGCCGTTTTGGTACAAAATGGTGTCAGTGTCTCTTGTAACTCTTGGACACGCATTCTCGCTTGGAAACAAATTCACTTCCACTGGGGAAAAAAACAAGGTTCATTTCGGATGTATTACTCCCTCATCGCTTTTATTTCCACGGTTATTTTGCGTTCTCTTGTAATTTTCCGATTGCTATTTAATTGACCATAGATTTGCTCATTGAGCTATTTTTAATCGTTTTATGCGAGTGCGAAACGCACACCCTGTTTCGAAAACCTGTCAGGTCTTGTATTTGTCCGATTGTATATTATCACTGCTCAATACGTTTTCCCATTTTAGTCTCAGTCATTCAGATCAGGTAGAATGACTGGCTATGCTGATGGGAGAGAGAATTCCAGTCATGGTCTGAAGGAAAGTCTGGCAGCATTTCCTAGCTTTCCTGTATGAAGTGACAGAACACTAAATACCATAAAACGTTTTTATCGAGATCTGTAAGTGAAAGGATACATAGTATTTGAAGGATGCTTTTCTTGTTCAGGAGATGTTTGCTTAAAACAACGAATCTCCACTTGCTTCACATATACAGATGATAACTTCCTTTAAAGGAAAAATAACGGCAGAGTGCCCCTTTAATGGCCTTTTTTTTCTTTCAGTCATGGCAGCAGCCTCTATCGCCAACATCGTCAAGAGTTCCCTTGGTCCAGTCGGTCTTGATAAAATGTTAGTGGATGACATTGGCGTGAGTATTTACTTATGTCTTTGCTTTTCACATTCAGATCTGTAGCGGCTGTGTATTCAAAATGAACCTGTAGCCCTGGCCTTCTTTAAGACACGTATTCAATTTAAAAAACTTCATTGAAGACTGAACTACTCCTCTTAAAGAAGCCTGGCTGTCCATAAATCCTTTTTATATTGACTTGCTAAAAGGCCTTAAGAATACGGCAGGGATTGTGCACTTCTTCACCTGAACAAATCTAAACAGAGAGGGAGGTTTTCATGTATTTCTCAATTTCAATTTGAATTTAGTAGCTTAGTGTCTCTTGTTAATTAAAATAATTGTCACTGTTGATTTGCTGAAGAGACAAGTACCATCTTTTTGTGTTGCTGAAAATCTGTGGGAGGGACAGTTACAGGTTGTTTTTAATTGTGAATAGGTTGTGAGTGTCTAGTTTAAAATAATGCAAAGGATTCTGTGTGTATATGACAGTTGAATCTTTTCAAATTTAGCATGCTAAAAGAAAAACAAGGTTTGTGTTTCTAGATTTAAAGACTGCAACCGTGATCACTACTACCCAGACCTGTCTCTTATTCCGTCAATAGGATGTGACCATCACCAATGACGGAGCAACAATTCTGCAGCTTCTTGAGGTCGAGCACCCAGCTGCCAAGGTCCTGTGTGAACTAGCTGACTTGCAGGACAAAGAAGTAGGGGATGGGACGACTTCAGTGGTGAGTTAATTCTTATCAGGTGCATCTAGAGAATTTTATACTATATTGAAATGTATTATGTTGGCGTGAATTATTTATAACACATACTATGAGAACTGGTAAAACAGTTTAAAAGTGGCGTTTATAATCATTATTCCCATTTTAGTACCATTCATTCGGTGCACCAAGAATGACTGGCTATGCTAATGGGAGAGAGCAACACTGTCACAGTCTGAAGGAGAGGTTGGCAATATCCATCTCTCCTATATGAAGTGGCAATACATTTTGATACCATGTGAGGGCTTTTCCTGGAAGAAATCAGACTTCAGTTTGCATGACCCCAAGTGAAAGTAATTGTAGACAATTGTCATTGTTTTTTGTATGTAGGTGATTATTGCTGCAGAGTTGCTGAAGAGTGCGGATGAACTTGTTAAACAAAAAATTCACCCCACATCTATAATTAGTGGATATCGCCTGGCTTGCAAGTAAGTATATAAAGAAAAACATTTTTTAAAAAAAGTTTTCCAGTTTGAGATGCAGAAGAAAATGAAGCATGCTATCTATTGGTAGTATTTTATGTTGTCGTGAGTTGGCAATGTTTGGAAGTTAATGATTTCCATCTCACTTTTTTATTTTTGTCTCTACAGAGAAGCTGTTCGATACATCAGTGAAAATCTGACTATTAGTACTGATGATCTTGGGAGAGAGTGTCTTGTCAATGCAGCTAAAACCTCAATGTCCTCCAAGATCATTGGAGTGTATCCTTTTTCTAAGTTGTCACTCATAAAAATATCTCAAAAATGTCTTTAAAAGTTGTACTGAGGCAAATATTGAAATCTGGTAACTTACAGATGCTGTTAAGTTTTTTATAGCTAGGACCTTTAGGGCAGATTTATAAAGTGGTTTATATAAAATGGGTAGACAGTTTTTGTAATGGTCTCAGCCTAGTAGGTAATAAAGCAAGGACTGCTGTGTTGCTTTACCGTACTGCATCTGGCGTTAACAAAACCTTGACAGATGCTGCTCAGTGATGCAGACTTCTTTGCCAACATTGTGGTGGATGCTGCCCTTGCAGTTAAATTTGTTGATGGGAAAGGTCAGGCTCGCTACCCAATCAACTCTGTCAATGTGCTAAAGGCACATGGACGCAGCCAGAAGGAGAGTTTCCTTGTAAACGGATATGCACTGAACTGCACTGTGGGATCACAAGGTGTGTGCAGGTGTTTTGCTTTTAAAACTCTTGCTTTCCCATTTTTTTTTGCTGCTACACCGTGCAAGTGGTGTATGTAGTTATACGCGTGGGATAGAGCATCCTCAGTTTGAACAGTCGAGCAGCATCCTGAAGTTGGTGCACAACTACTGCTCAAACTGGACACTTCTGTTTAACTCATTGCAGTCCTAAATCTGGGACCTGAAACATGTTTTGCAGCATATGAAGAGATTAATGTAGATGTGTTTTGGGAATACTTTGGAAAAAATAAAATTTTGAAAAATTCCCTTTGTGTAATGTTACAGAATGTTGGTATAATGCCTTGCCCATGAACACAGAGGTCTGACAATAGTATTGACTGTGTAGAAGTAGCTTGCAAGTCAATGGATGTGCTTTGATCCATTTTCATTTTTCCTCAGGAATGGTAAAGCGGATGGTAAATGCTAAGATTGCTTGCCTGGATTTTAGCCTGCAGAAGACTAAAATGAAGCTAGGTGTCCAAGTAGTTATCAACGACCCTGAGAAACTTGACCAGATTAGACAGAGGTATGTTGACTTTCTTCTTAGAGATGTGTGTTTTATCAGTACACAATTTATTTATTGTGTATTTATTTGTCAAACAGCCATTATTTTAAGTACACTTAGGTTTTTTTAAAACTGATATGCACCATTTAGAAATACTCCTGGTTTGAAAAAAACTTGAAATCAAGTTATTCAATAAAATTAGAAAAGTGCTTTCATGGGTTATTTGGTTCAAATTGACTTCAACTTTTCTTTTGCTGAAAAGTGCTGAATAAAGACCTTTTAGGGGGATTCATATTTAGAGACTTTCCTACAGATGGGAGCTTTGCACCATTTGCTCCTCAGTCCAGCATATATGTTAAATGTCTGAACCTGTGGTTCTTCTCCTTCCTGCAGGATTACTATTGCAACAACACATCATTAGTAGGATAAAACTAACCTGTCTCACAGTGGTCTAAATCCACCTCGCGTTTCCTGTTAATGGTGAACTCTGCTTTACAATGTTAGGAAAAGGTCTATGCAACCCTTTCTTGATATGTCAATGAGTTACGAGTGTTAAAAGTACCCCAGCCACTTTATACAAGCCTGTTTCATTTCAAGCATCCTAATTGGCAGAAGACAAATTAAACACAAAAAACACAGTAGAGTGTGCCAATATGATCCCAATTTGTTGTGGAAAACAAAATGAAGGTAATATAATGCACACTGCTGAGTTACAATAAATATGATGTTTAATCTGTGCTAGTAATAGACATGCTGTGCTATTGTAGAATGAAATACCTATAAAGCTTAAAAACCTTTAACACAGTAACTGTGTAATTGATTGTTTTTCTTTAAAGTTCAAAACAGTATCAGTATGTGAGAGTGAAGGACTGATAATAGTCCAAAAAACCTGCAAAAAAAAAGGTGGGAAAAAAAAAAAAAAGGGCCCCACAAAGGTGAACAACAAAAAATGAACCTAAACAATGCAACCGCCGGGTTCCAAAACCAAAAAAAAATAACAAAAAAACAAAAACAAAAAGCCCAAACAACCTTTGCAGTTATGTGGTCCTCTCCCAGATCCCATTTTTATTGCTCCCACACTTGAAGTAGTGTGAGTGGTTATACGCGTGGGATACAGCAAGGCCAGCCTGAAGTTCTTCTCCTAAAAACACTCCTGTGTTTTTGTTTGCTCTGTGGGCTGCACATGTACCTAAAACATGGGGTTTTTTTTCTTGAAAGTATTGGTCTTATTATCTTCTTGTCGGTGTGGCTAGAGAGAGATTCTGGGAAAATACTAGAATCGGCTTGTGATTAACCATTTTGATGTATATTAGCTATTGGATGGTAATGTAAGTCTGGTGGTCTCTACGGGTGCTTGCCACTTACTCTTGTTTTTACCTGTTAATACAACTCTTCTGGTCAGACCTGTGATACACCCAGCTTTCTGAGCACCTTGTGTTCTCTGCCGCTCATCCAGAATAATGACTGGGTCATGTTTCTATCTGGCTGTAATGCTGCTGGTTCAAAGGGCAGTGAGAAATCTCGTTCTGTCGCAGGGAGTCTGATATCACCAAAGAGAGGATCCAGAAGATCCTGGCAGCAGGGGCCAATGTCATCCTGACCACTGGGGGCATCGATGACATGTGCCTGAAGTACTTTGTTGATGTGGGGGCCATGGCCGTGCGCAGGGTTCTGAAGAGGGACCTCAAGCGCATTGCCAAAGCAACAGGAGGTGAGCCTGACCTCAGACATGTGTAGAATCCAGCTAAGACAGTTGGGATGTGTGCATGTTGATTCATAGGTTATTCTATTTCGTGTCTGCAAATGTGCTCCTGCCTTGTTATAATGTGAAGGTTGGGGTCCTAGTAGTTTGTCCGTCTTGCTGTCAAAATGCCTCTTGATCTGTCTTTAGGCCATCCACAGAATGTAGCCTCTGCAGTGTGTTTTGAAAATGCTGCTCATGTTTGACTTTTTCTCACATTGTTTACCAGTTTTCATATTGTGCATTTAAGTTTTGATTAAAATATTGACTTTAAAATGTGTAACAATTGTAACCAAACAAAATGGGAATCACTGGAAAGGGGTTCATAATTGTAAAACCGACAACAGGAAACACTTCTTTACCCAAAGGGTTGTGTATGTCCATTGTAAAAAATCCATTGTAATATTAGTGATTTAGTGGAGATATAATTCTGATCACACTTAAATTGCTTTGGAAAACCATTTTTATCAGTGATTCTATCTGTAATTCAATTGTATTGAAAGTGTTATGTATGCAATTAAGTAGTCCATGAAATAATTCACATCTGTGTTTTTCAGCTACTATGTGCTCCACTCTGTGCAACCTTGAGGGAGAGGAGACATTTGAAAGCAATTTGCTAGGACAAGCTGAGGAGGTTGTTCAGGAACGAGTGTGTGATGATGAGCTGATTCTTATTAAGAAGTAAGACTTTTTAATACTTATGTAACAAAATAAATAGCTCTTGCTCAGGATTTGCTGTAAAGATTCAGTTACCAGCATACAGCCTTATTGAAACCACAGAAGGAAATATCTAACTTGTATATTATTTTTAATTGTCAAGGATGATAAAGTTGTTTTGTGTTTTGTTGGTGTGGGTTGGGAGTTTAACTAGTCATGACCTGAAAATGCACTCCATGAGGTGCTTGTCCTGGTCTGTAGGAAATTTAATTTTTCTGAGGGAAGGGTCTTCAGTTTATTATTTTATAAAGTGATCTGTATTTGCATAAATGTTAGGTTTCCTGTTTTGAAGTGCAATGCAAAATTAACCTCTTCCACCCGTTCAGCACCAAGGCTCGCACCTCTGCTTCCATCATCCTGCGCGGGGCCAACGACTTCATGTGTGACGAGATGGAGCGCTCCCTGCATGATGCGCTGTGTGTGGTGAAGAGAGTCCTGGAGTCGAAGTCTGTGGTCCCTGGAGGCGGTGCTGTAGAGGCTGCACTCTCCATTTATCTGGAGAACTACGCTACCAGCATGGTAACAAAAATTAGTTTCATAATTATTTTAAAGGGGATTTTTTTGTTGATGATTTAACATGATGGACAGTCTAAATCTTCTTTATCCAAGGAGGGGTTTCATTTTTTTTTGTCAGTGTTCTGTTCCCCCCCCTCCCCCCCTTCACGTATTAACATTCACATTGTTGTGACAGGGCTCCCGTGAGCAGCTGGCTATAGCTGAGTTTGCCAGGTCTCTGCTGGTTATTCCCAAGACCCTGGCAGTTAACGCGGCTCAGGACTCCACCGACCTTGTTGCTAAGCTGCGTGCGTTCCACAACGAGGCCCAGATCAACCCAGAACGCAAAAATCTGAAATGGTGAGTTTCAAAACATAAGGGCTTGTGCCGACATAATTTGAACTACTACTTGAAGGTAAAATGGGTTTTGGGGGCTTTTTTTTGGGAATCCAGTTTGTTACAAACGGGGGGGGGGGTTACGAAACTGGTAAAAATCATTAATGACCGAGCTGTTTAGTCAATCAGTGAAATAATTATTCATAACCCCCGACTTGTAAGTTATTTCTATACCTGAGCAGCTGGTATAACTGGTATTCTGCTCAAGCCCCCCCCAGACCTTCGCAAACATCCTCTCTGCTTTGAAGTTAGAAGTGTTTACTTTTCTCAATGTCACGTACTGTATCTAAAATCTAAGACACTTCTCAGTCAAAAGTTTTCTGAGCACTGCGTTTTCACATCGAGTTGAATTTGTAAAATTGATTTGATAAAAATTGATGCGACAAAAAAAATTATGCTAGCTCAATGTTTTAGAATTCAGTGGATTGTGTTTAATAGCTCATGTTCAGCTTTGAAATATTTCAGTCACAGCACCTTAAGATGCTCATACAATAGTGCTTTTATGTTTGGACAGGATTGGTCTGGATCTGGTGAATGGCAAACCCAGAGACAATAAGCAAGCTGGCGTCTACGAACCTACCATGGTAAAAACCAAGAGTCTGAAGTTTGCGACGGAGGCTGCAATTACTATCCTTAGAATTGATGACCTCATCAAACTCTTCCCAGAGGAGAAAGAAGGGGGACAGGCTTACAGGGATGCGGTCCAGTCCGGAGCTCTGGAAGGCTGAGGATCTTGAGCACTAGTCCAGTTCTTACCATTATTTATACAAGTGTTAACTGTAATGTGGTTACTTTTCATACACGATTGTACAATTCTTAGCATGCCCAGGTAGCTTGTAGCCCTGGTAAATGTAACATATTGGAATTTAAATAAAAAATCTAAAATACACCACATTTGTTAGTTTCATAAAAGACGCTGGGGAGGTGACTACTTCCTGAACTTGATGTTAAATTTATTTTTATTAAATGGTCGTAAAAGGCTTTTTTTTATAATTAGGCAAAAATATATAATACTTGTAACAAAGTTTGAATGAAGTGAATAGTACCAAAAGTAGACAGGTTTTGTTATAACTTAATTACAGTAATAAAAGATTGGGGAAGTTATGATCACAAGTTGTCTAAATAAAACTGCAGATAGCTGCTAATTTCTTGAAAAAAAAATTAGTTAATTCTGTTCCTCTTATTGAGTACCTGAACATCCAAGCAGATGTTTGTACTTTGTTTTGATGATGTTACAGTAGTGCTGCTTAACTAGAGTAAGAGTGATGATGAATCTGGGAAATGCTGTTTGATCTATCCACACTGACACTTGTTGTCAAGGTGTGGTCTAGCTCATTACACCTGATTTAGCCCATCCTGTGTCCCAGTTCTGTCTTGGCAAAACTTCATTTATGCAAGTAGTTTGCTTTAACCCTGTGGTGCTTCCACAGATTTGCACTGCTCATAAACCATTTTAAATAGCTGTTTAATAAGATCCTTTTGAAGTAAATACAAATGTGCTGTATTCTACATTAAAAGACAGAGACAAATAACCATGACATTAGTAATAATACACCCATAATTATGTAAGAGGTTTAAGCAACAATAAGTTTTTTTTTGCATTTACAATGAAAACATTATTCAGACTTCTTTGAACACCTTTTAAACTGATCACACTGGTGTATCTGATTATATTTCACAGACCAGCTGTTTTTTGTGTGCATTGCTGCTTTGTGTATATAGAGCATGTTGTGGCCAAAGCATACTGACTGTTTTCATGGCTGAGTGATTCAGTTGGTTTGAGTGTGGAGCTGTGACCTTTTTTCATTTCTTCAACCACGTGCATGGCAACATACTGGCACTATTTACCAAATTTAACTATGTGCTTCATGGCATGACAAATTGTATGAGATACTGAGGCTGAAGTCTGATTTCCAAAAGAGAAACTTTGAAATAGTTGGCTATTGATGGTTAAGACAAAATAAGACTGCAACCAAACGGAGACCATGTTGCACACCTTGCTCATTTGGTAGTTTAGCAGGTACTTGCTTAGAGTTGGGGCATCAAATATGTGGCTGGGAATTCTGTTCTAGTAACTACCTTACAAAGAATACTTGGCAGTTTAAGAGAATACCCGAGTAGAACCATTGGTTTTGGTTTCAGATATACAGTAGCACTAGTATTTTAATTTAAAAAATTAATGCAATTATATGGCAAAATAATTTTAAGGAATGACAGTTACAGTATTAAGTGTTGTAATTCTACAATTCACCTGTTTTTCCTTTCTAATTTTCACATTCATGTAGGCTACTCTAAATTCACATCCTTTCAACACACATTGCTATTCCCATGCCACCTCCAATGCACAAGGCAGCAACTCCTCGCCTTCCCCCTGTGCGTTCAAGAGCATAGAGGAGAGTGACCAAGATCCGACAGCCAGACATTCCCAGAGGGTGGCCGAGAGCGATGGCACCACCTTGGACATTGACCTAGAGAGGAAATGGCAAACACTGAGCATGGACAACACTACAATGACGTTTCAGCTTTCAAATACTAGTCTAGCAGAAGTGAGACAAATTAAAGAATTTAGGAACTGTTTCTAGACTAGACTCCCCAAAAAGATTTACATCATAGACTTATTTGGGATAAAAATCTTAAATGTATGTTCCATTAATTTGTCAAGATGAAATTTATATGGAAGATTTTAATCACTTTGGGCAGAAAATGTCAATACAGGAATAAATTTAGCCAGATTATCTATTCACACATATACAACAGATTTCTATATATAATCTTTTATTCATTTTTCCAAATATCAAATAAGTTATTTCTTTCATACCTCCCCAATCAGGAATATCCAGTTGTGAAATAACTCGGGTTTATTAATATAACCCCTATAATAATACCACAGAGGGGATGAGGCTGTGTGCTCTTTCCTCTGAAACATGCACGGTCAGGGCCAGTTTTCCTTTCTCGCAATGCACATCACGTAGTTATCATCTATTAGAAGAGTGACGTAGCTTTTTGTTGACAACGCAGAGCATGCACAGGCACTCGGCAAGGCATACGATTCTTGATATACAGCAAGGCAAGAAGATACTGGCCAACTGAAGCCCATCTAATACTGTCAGTGCTCAGGTAATTGGTTTTCTGGCAACATATACAGTAGCTAATAAAATAGCCCAGACTGGAACTGGTGTCATCTGGACAACAGAGGTTAACCTGCTCTCTGACAAAGTGCCTTTACCTGTAGATGCACCCAATAATCTCATTTTGAAACAGAACATGCATCTTAAAAACAAAATAAGACAGGAGCTAAATTTTGAGCTCTGACACAGGTTTATTGTGACAGTAAACCCAAAACGCCCACATCTATGAAACCTAATTCCGTACAAAAACGTAACTCACATACAAAAGAATCTAACTACAAATCTCCAGAACCTCAAGACAACATGATGTTACTTCAACAGTAGAGCAACGGGATCAGCTCATCAGGTGGGCAGTGGAAAATGTCATTGTAAAGAACTACTTTTTGAAACAGCACCCACTAAATAGCAGACAATTTTTCCTATTGTTAACTGAGTATATGAATGTATGTCTTCTACACAGATGCAACGTTTCTTTTTACTCATTAAAATAATTATCATCTAAATGTCAAATGTTAAAAAAGGCACAGGATTTTAATACCAAAAATGCGATTTCACATCCGTTACTTAAAATTTTCTGACAATGCTCAGCAGACCTTATAGCAGATGGCTGCAGTCAGCATGGGCGCTGTAAAGGAACAGTTTGAGGTTAAAGTTCAGGTTTGTATTAAATAATCAAGTCTACCTTATCTGGGTCCAGGCCAAGTTCCTTTGTGACAGCGATAGATTGGGCAGCAAAAGCTTCATTGATTTCAAACAGATCCACTTGGTCCAGCTGCCATCCTGCATTCTCCACCTGAGAAAGCAATGTGTTGAGTTATTGCGCATTTTATAGAGATCAAAGGAAATAAAAAAAAACTGTGGGAGTTTGGATCTCATTAGACCCCAATGCTGTTGCTCCCTTGAGTAACTTAGCGTAATGCGGACAAGGTGCCTCAATCTCTGGGATGCAGTGAAGAGAAAAAGCATTTGGTTTGTAGTGCTGTACAGAGAATGAGGCAGTCTGGCTTCATGTCACTTTCTAGTCTAGAAAGGGTACTGCATGTTCCACTTGTTTGCAAATGTATGTTGACAATTCTTCTCTCTCCTTTCTCATCCAACAACAAGACCATACATTAAACACTGTTGAGTCCCTCCTCTTGATAACACCATTCAGATGGAAAAGGGGGGCTAGTTAGTCTCCCCTAGTAGTTTTTGTCAGAATCGCACCCCCAAGACCTTCCATCCTCATTCATCTGACTGAATGGAGGAAGACAACTGGTCATGTGGCAGTTAAAACCAGGAAAAAGGCTTCTAATATTGGTCTGTAGGTGGGGTCCAGCCATACATTCGTTCTGTGGATCCTGGAACATTTTGATTTAGTGAGTTTTTGGAAAAACACAAAAGTTTTGGAAGAGACTCTGTGTTTCAAGAGAAATAAAGGACACTGCTTTTTATCAGGTTTCTCTGACACCTATCTTGCTACTTGCTACTTGCTACTGCACTGCAGCCTTGAATGTGTCACATGGAATAATGAAACTTTGTTCAAATTAAAAAGATGTTTCATATCATTCTTAGCAGTATTTATTTGTATGTAAGAAAAGAAAATAGGAGACTCACGGCTTTCTTTATTGCTAGAATAGGCCCAGTGCCCATAACTGCTGGATCTAAACCAACTTGAGCCCAGGAAGTAATCAAAGCCATCGGCTTCAAACCTCTTCTCTCAGCCTCAGATTTGGTCATCAGAACAGTAGCTGCAGCCCCATCATTTATACCTGTGAGCGAACATTTACAAGAACAAAAATTAAAATACATAAAACTAAGTAAGCAGTGTTCACTCTAAACAATACAAACAGAACCGTGAACTAAACAGAAGGGTTTTCATCAAGGTGGTATACTTCAAGAGTAACATTCATATATTTTTAATGAGCTTATCCCGTATAGGGGGAGCCTATCCCGGCAAGCTACAGGCGCCAAGGCAGGATATACAGCAGTCAGGATACCAGCTCATCGCAGGGCACAAACAGACACAAACGCACACATACCAGGGCCGAGTTTTACAAAAGTTTTTGGACCGTGGGAGGAAAAGAGAGTACCCGGTGGAAACCCACATGTAAGCGTACAAACAACATGCAGACAACAGCCTGGGAAGTGAACTGTGCGACCCTTGATGAGTATGATCTCCAAGAAATCTGAATTTTGAGTTAAAATCAAACAGCACTGACCAAATCATTAGAATTCTAGGCTGCTGATTTAAGGGTTTTTATTAGGCTGATGGCTAGGAACACACTAGCAGTGTCCTTGGGGGACTTGATAAAATGTATACTACAGAGTATATTCACAGTATCAAGGCCCTCTCTAATGAAACAATCTTATCCCCAATTCTTTTTAAGTTATTAAGTTCCACATATTTAGAAATCGTATCTTCGGATGGTATGTAAACATCAAACAGGCTTCGTGATCGTATTGTATGTATTGTATTGTGGTATTATTGTATCATTTCATTACACTGTTGCTGTGTTGACTGTGTTAAGCTCCTGTTGCACTGCCCTCACGTGATCAATAGATCTATCTACGAAAGGGAGCCATTTGGCCTGTTGTGCATATTTAGTTCTATAGCTCCACACTCACATTGCTAGTAGCGCATGTATTGGGCCCCAAATTAGTAACTACTTTACACCCTCCCCAGAAAGAAACAACTCAATCAACCAACTTGTATTCTTTAAGTGGTGAACTGGAGCAGCTGTGAAAAATGCCTTGCATTCACATGCTTGTAGGAACATGCAAGCTCCATCACAACACCATGCAATACTGAGCTGCAGAAATCCGTGTGTGCAACCCCTGTTTATGAACCAATGATCTTCTGAAGGAATAGCAGAAATCTCTGAAATGCTATAAACTATTAACTAAACCTCAGTTATCAATATCTCCTAAACCAAAGCAGCTCCCACAGAATAACTGTGACAGGTCGTAACCACAGATACAATGCAACATGCTTCGTAAACACAAACAAAATTTCACTAAAAAGAGGCTTATATTTACCAATATGGGTTTGTTTGGGGGTTGTGGGAATATGGCACAAGCTACCCAGCCATGCCGTTGAGCTGACACTGACTTCTTTCAGGAAACAATTGGATGAGATCCTTTTAACAATTAACAACTAACCAAACAGATTAGGTGGGCTGAATGACTTCCACTTGTTTGTAAACTTTCTAAGATTCATATGTGTACTGACAGGTTTTAAAATTGTATTCAGATTATTCCACTGGCACTGTTTGAAAGCAAAATGAAATTATTATACTGTCCCTAATTTACTGTGTGAATGGGTATTGTATGCAATTTTATAACTGTCTTTGAGTTTTCAACAAGTCAGAAAATCTGTTCCACCTGAACAATCTCAATGTTATGTCCATTGAACTCTCAGATGTTGTATTGGTCTATTTTCATATTTCCTTTTCACAGAGTTAACACACCAACCTGAGGCGTTAGCTGGAGTCACGGTGCCTGTGCTGTCTTTTAGGAAACAGGGCTTCAGTTTAGACATTGCACCCAAATTACTTCCATGACGAGGAAACTCATCTGATTTCACTTCAACTGGGCCTAGAAAGAGACGACCACACATTCAGGGAACACATCATCTTAATGATGAAGTAATATCTTCCATTTAATTCACAAAAACTGATTGCATTTAAAAAGACTAGTTATGATAACAGAACTGTGCTATGGTTTATAATATATTGTGAATTGTTATGGTATATGGAGAAATGGAAAAGATATAGAAGAAAAATACCTACAGAATCTAAAGAATTACATGCAAAATATAATGAGAGGCATCAGAAGTCTACTAACAGGCATTAAACAAGTAATAGGTACTGGAGAAAACACATTCATTGTGTCACTAATAACACTTTGTATGTAAAAATATATATTCTATTTAACTGTTTAAGCTTTATGATAAAATCATAAACAATTCTAACTAGTGAAATATCAGTGTGGTTTTGAATATTAAACCACACAGATATTTGTATATGTATATTATTATTTTGAGGTTTGTACTCACTGATGACACAATGGCCACAAGACTCCTCACAAAACCAGAATTCCTCTACTGTTTCTCTCTGTAGACCTATTTCTTTTCCACTATAATAATCAACAGCTTCGCATGATCCCTATACTATTCAGATCCAGTTAGGAGCAGTTGTCATTGTCATGCCAAGATTCATTTAAATCAAAACTCATGAAGGTGAAAAGTCCAGAGGTACATAGAGAGATAAACTCAAACGTCACCTTTCCTTGACGACACAGTGACCGGCACAATCTCCTTGTCGAAATAGCCTGCTTTCTGAGCAGCTTCTGTTCGGTTTTGAGACGTGACAGCAAACTGGTCCTGGGCTTCACGGCTCACATTCCACTGCTTGGCAACGTTTTCAGCTTTTCATAGGATCGACCAACAGCACGTACATGTTGGTATATCAAGCAAATGAATACATAATTATGTTACTTTACTCTCAGTAGAAAGTGTACAATGACAGATCTGTTTTGAACGTCATAATTAAAAATATATGGTAATGGCGGGATATTCAGTAAGAGAAATAAACAGATGATTGCATTTTTCAAAACCCTGTAGAGCTGCATTAAATAAACATATTCTGGAGTCTTTACCTGTTATGCCCATGTGATAGTTGTGAAATGCATCAGTCAAGCCATCAGAGATGACCGAGTCTTGCAGACAAGCATCTCCCATTTTAATTCCAGCGCGCATGTGCACCGTGTGAGGCGTCTAAAGAACATGGAATGCAATGCTAAAGCAACACGATCTCAGATCGATTCAAGCTTTATTATTCCCCCAGGGAAATTGTTTTTTTATGGCAGAGTCCAGCACAGCAAAAACAAACATCACTAATGAAGTGCTTAGGACAACAGCGTTTCAGGAGATAAGGATTATTTTAAATTGTTTGAGAATGAGACAGCAGAGGGAATGATCAATTTCCTAAGCATTCCTCCTGAGGCACAGAGGTGATGCGAGTTGTGCAAATTCACAATGGTGGGGAAGGTGAGCCACACAGGCCATAAAGCTCTTAGCCTTCTTTAGATCTCCAAGTTTCTCTTGTCCTGATAACTAAGACCACAAAAGGTCTGCAGGACACCAGATTTGCCAACACATAAAACTTTTACTTGTAAAAGTTTTACAGGCCATTTCATGGGAGCAGACCATGTTGAGGCTGTCCTTCAAAATGGTTTGTCCAATGCAAGTCTAGTGGCAAGTCGACCGTCTGTAGAGACTTTTTCAAACAAATCATTCTCCGACGCATAATTCAATCACCTGCAAACACTTTTACAACACATTTTAAAGCATCCACATTTTTGTCACTACTGTCACCGGCAAACACCCAGCTTGTTCCACCCGGACTTACCCTGCTCATGCTCTCCATTCCTCCTGCTACAACGACTGTGGACTCTCCAGTGCGGAGTGACTGCGCTCCCAAGCACACGGCTTTCAGGCCAGAGCCACACACCATCTGGCAGCTCCAGGCAGGCACAGGGTAAGGGATTCCAGCTCCCACGCTGGCCTGGCGAGCAGGATTCTGCCCATGACCTGGCGGGCAGCAGTCACAATAACCCACTAGCCCACTTCTCCTGTCAATCAGCACTATCTCCAGTCCGT